ATTCAATGTTCACAAATACAAAGTAATGCACATTGGAAAACATGACCATTCAAGAAAAAAGATTATTGTAGTACTCTGAAAACATCTGCTCAATGTACATCAGCAATCAAAAAGCTTAATATATTAGGAACAACTAGGAAAGGGATAGACAATAGGACTAAAAATATAATGCCACTGTACAAATCCCTGATACACTCACACCTTGAAAACTGCATCCAGTTCTAGTTGCTCCATCTCAAAAACAATATTTATTAAAACCGGAAAAGGTACAGAGAGAAGTAACAAAAATTAATATGGGCCTGGAACAGCTTCCTTGTGAAGCAAAATTTAAAAGAGTCGGACTGTTAAACTAGGAAAAAGATGAGTAAGGGGAAATATGGTAGAGGCCTGTAAAATCATGAATGATGTGGAAAAAGTGAATAAGAAAGTGTTATTTACTTCTTCACATAACACAAAAACTAGGACTCATTCAATGAAATTGATAAGCAGAAGGTTTAAAACAAAAGAAATATTCATAGAATCATAGAATACTAGGACTGGAAGGGACCTCGAGAGGTCATCGAGTCCAGACCCCTGCCCTCATGGCAGGACCAAATACTGTCTAGACCATCCCTGATAGACATTTATCTAACCTACTCTTAAATATCTCCAGAGATGGAGATTCCACAACCTCCCTGGGCAATTTATTCCAGTGTTTGACTACCCTGACAGTTAGGAACATTTTCCTAATGTCCAACCTAAACCTCCCTTGCTGCAGTTTAAGCCCATTGCTTCTTGTTCTATCCTCAGAGGCCAAGATGAACAAGTTTTCTCCCTCCCCCTTATGACACACTTTTAGATACCTGAAAACGACTATCATGTCTCCTCTCAATCTTCTCTTTTCTAAACTAAACAAACCCAATTCTTTCAGCCTTCCTTCATAGGTCATGTTCGCTATACCTTTAATCATTCTTGTTGCTCTTCTCTGGACCGCCTCCAATTTCTTCACATCTTTCTTGAAGTGCGGTGCCCAGAACTGGACACGGTACTCCAACTGAGGCCTAACTAGCACAGAATAGAGCAGAAGAATAACTTCTCGTGTCTTGCTCACAACACACCTGTTAATGCATCCCAGAATCATGTTTGGTTTTTTTGCAGCAGCATCACACTGCTGACTCATATTCAGCTTGTGGTCCACCATAACCCATAGATCCCTTTCTGCCATACTCCTTTCTAGACATTAGATTCCCATTCTGTATGTGTGAAACTGATTGTTCCTTCCTAAGTGGAGCACTTTGCATTTGTCTTTATTAAACTTCATCCTGTTTACCTCAGACCATTTCTCCAATTTGTCCAGATCATTTTGAATTATGACGCTATCCTTCAGATTAGTCGCAACCCCTCCCAGCTTGGTATCATCTGCAAACTTAACACGCGTACTTTCTATGCCAATATCTAAATCATTGACGAAGATATTGAACAGAGCCGGTCCCAAAACAGACCCCTGTGAAACCCCACTTTTTATGCCTTTCCAGCAGGATTGTGACCCATTAATAACTATTCTCTGAGTACCGTTATCCAGCCAGTTATGCACCCACCTTATAGTAGCCCCATCTAAGTTGTATTTGCCTAGTTTATTGATAAGAATATCATGCGAGGCTGTATCAAATGCCTTACTAAAGTCTAGGTATACCATATCCACTGCTTCTCCCTTATCCACAAGACTCGTTATCCTATCAAAGAAAGCTATCAGATTGGTTTGACATGATTTGTTCTTGACAAATCCATGCTGGCTGTTCCCTATCACCTTGCCACCTTCCAAGTGTTTACAGATGATTTCCTTATTTGCTCCATTATCTTCCCTGGCACAGAAGTTAAACTAACTGGTCTGTAGTTTCCTGGGTTGTTCTTATTTCCCTTTTTATAAATGGGCACTATATTTGCCCTTTTCCTGTATTCTGGAATCTCTCCTGCCTCCCATGATTTTCCAAAGATGATAGCTAGAGGCTCACATACCTCCTCTATCAGCTCCTTGAGTATTCTACGATGCATTTCATCAGGCCCTGGTGACTTGCAGGCATCTAACTCTTCTAGTTGATTTTTACCTTGTTCTTTTTTTATTTTATCTTCTAAACCTACCCCCTTCCCATTAGCATTCACTATGTTAGGCATTCCTTCAGACTTTTCGGTGAAGACCGAAACACAGAAATCATTTAGCATCGCTGCCATTTCCAAGTTTCCCGTTATTGATGTTGATCTCACAGTGCACAGTCTACCTATGGAATTCATTACAAAGGGCTGTTACTAAGGCCAAAAGTGTAACTGTGTTCAAACAAGAATTAGATAATTTCCTGGAGCATAATTCTATCAAAGTCTAATAGTCAAGATGGTTGGGGATACAACACCATGCTCTGAGTATCATAGATTCATAGAATCTTAGAGCTGGAAGAGACTTCAGGGGGTCATCGAGTCCAGCTCCTTCCCCAAAGCAGGACCAACCCTAACTAAATCATCCCAGCCAGGGCTTTGTCAAGCAGGGACTTAAAAATCTCTAGGGATGGAGATTCCACCACCTCCCTAGGTAACCCATTCCAGTACTTTACCACCCTCCTAGTGAAATAGTTTTTTCTAATATCCAACCACTGTAACTTGAGACCATTGCTCCTCGTTCTATTATCTGTCACTACTGAGAACAGCCTCTCTCCATCCTTTCTGGAACCTCCCTTCAGGAAGTTGAAGGCTGCTATCAGATTCCCCCTCACTCTTCTTTTCTGCAGACTAAATAAGCCCAAATCCCTCAGCTCTCCTCGTAGGTCACGTGCTCCAGCCCCCTAATCATTTTGGTTGCCCTCCACTGGACCCTATCCAATGCATCCACATCCTTCCTATAGTCGGGGGCCCAGAAGTAGATGCAATACTCCAGATGTGGCCTCACCAATGCCCAATAAAGGGGAATAATAACTTCTCTAGATCTGGTGGCAATGTTCCTCTTAATGCATCCTAGTATGCCTTTAGCCTTCTTGTCCACAAGGGCACACTGTTGACTCATATCCAGCTTCTCATCCACTGTAATCCCCAGGTCCTTTTCTGCTGAACTTCTGTTTATCCAGTCAGTCCCCAGCCTGTAACAGTGCTTCAGATTCTTCTGTCCCAAGTGCACATGTCCCTAAGCCTCTCATTGCCAGAAGCTGGAAGTGAACGACAGCCAAGCCCTCTGATGGGGGGAGGAAGGAGGCAAAGGGGTCATCTGTCCTGGGGCCCAGTGATACAAAAGGCCAGGAGCTCTTTAAATTGTTGCCAGAGCAATGCACACTCCAAGCATCATCGAGGGCTACCTGTGGGAGGTACAGTGCTCTCTGGGCAGTGCTGTGGACTCAACCCTTCCAGAGTCAGGGTTCCCTCTGCCTTACCCAGGCACCCAATGAGGCTGTTGGCCCCACTGATGACAGCAGGTGGATCACTCAATAACTGCCCTGTTCTGTTCATTTCCTCTGAAGCCTCTGGCACCAACCACTGGTCTGACCCAGCATGGCAATACTTATATTCTTCTGTACACACATGACTGGAATAGAGATCTCATTATGTCGTGGTACATAATGTCATCCTGCTAGGTATTATTTGGGGTGATCAATCATATGATATTTAAGTTCTTGTCTTACATGTGCACAATATGGAAATAAAACCTGGAACCTCATGACTCCTTACACAATACATGAAAACCAAAGAGTGGTAGGTATACTGTAAGGGTACGTCTAGACTACAGGGTTTTGTCGACAGAAGTTTTGTCAACAGATACTGTCGACAAAGCTTCTGTCAACAAAGAGCGTCTAGACTCCATCCAGTTCTGTCGACAAAGCAAGCCCCTTTGTCGACATAACAGTGTGGACACAAAGGACAGTTTAGATGCAATAATGCCTTCTATCGACAGAACTCTGTTAACAAAAGGCGTTATTCCTCGTAGAATGAGGTTTACATACGTCGACAAAACTGCTGAGTTTTGTCGACGTTATGTCGACATAACTCAAAGACAGTGTGGATGCAGGTATAGTTTTGTTGACAAAAGTCCACTTTTGTTGACAAGACCCTGTAGTCTAGACACACCCTAAGACATGAAATCCAAATACATGTATGCAAATAGATCTGGAAGCTCTACACACAAGATTGCAAAGTCAATCTGCTTATAACATTTATTTTATACTAGCCAATAGCCCATCATAAGATGGGATTTTCGGGTCTCTCCCCCACATCTCTCTCTCTCTCATCCTACTGCTCCTCCCCCTGCCCTCCTCCCAGTTCTCCTCCTGCCTCTTTCTCCATCTCTCTCTTTCTCTTCTCCTCCCTGTGATATATAGGTGTTCTGACTAGACGCTGTATTTAATGTGCCTGTCACTTTTTAATGATAAATGCTGTGAATATGACGTTATTCCTATAGTTTCAGGGGCAGCCCAAGCCATTTTGGCTGCCCAGGCGCGCAGCACCGCCCCTGGGCGCACGGCACATGCGCAGCCCACCCCTGGGGTGCAGGCCGGACCGCCCCCAGAGTGCACGGTGCATGCGCAGGCCCATCCCCAGTGCGCATGGCGCATGTGCTGCCCGGCCGCTGACACACAGCCCTGGGTCCGCCCCTGGGGCGCACAGCGCATGTGCTGCCCAGCCCGACGCAGCCGCTGGCGCGCAGCGCCTGGACATGCAGGGCCCCGTGGCCATGGGGGGAAGGGCGCTGCTGGCCGGTGCCGCGGGGATGGGGGGCGGGGGCCAGCGCTGTGGGAACTGGGCGCACGGCACCTGATGGCAGCTATAAGGGACGCCACACACCCCTTACAGCTGCCATCAGGCGCTCCCCATCGGTTGGTACCCCGGGCAGTTGCCTGGCTCACCCACCCCGTAGTCCGGCCCTGTGTAGTTTGTAAAAACACTATATGATTTTTCTGAATGAAAGTTTTTTAATATTTGTAAGTCATCCCGTGAGCCTTCCATGCCATTGCCATGGAATCTTAACTGGATGCTCTCCCTTTCTGCAGGTCACAGTGCCGTTGATATTACCAAGGTGGCCAGAAGACATCGCATGTCTCCATTCCCATTGACATCTATGGACAAAGCCTTCATCACGGTTCTGGAGATGACTCCAGTGCTTGGAACAGAAATCATCAATTACCGAGGTGATTTACATTTATTGGGACTCTTTTAAATTAGAGCTGTGGAATATTACTTGCTTTATTATAATCTATTTAACTATATGGACCTTTTAATAATTATTGGGAGGTGCTTGAGACTAGGACAACACTCTCTTTCCTCCTCCAATGGAGTTAGTTTTAGAATGTGACAATACGAAGAGTAGGCCCCTCTTTAACAAATCAGAAAGGTGTACAGTGGACTCAGGAATTCCTGAGAATAGATTACAACTTCTAGGTCTTATCTGAACAATTGCAATGAAGTAAAAAACTAAAATAAAGCTTGTGTATACTGTGGAAAGTACAACAGAAAAACTAAAAAATGTCTGTCTAAGGGAGCAAGGTGGATTTAATAATGGACAACTAGACCCTCTCTGTGTTGAATCATTTTTGCCTGTGCTCTCATCTTGTGGGACTCTTAAGACTTTTTCCAATCAAACTGCTCAAAGAGTTGCAGAGGTTATCACTTCAATTATTTGTTCTAACCTCTTCTTTTCTATATCCATGTCTCCAGCTCCTTTCTGTCTACTTTTCCAGCTCTTGTCTGGCTAAGGCCACTCCAACGCTCTCTTTCTCTTCTCTCACTCAGTCAACTCCAACTTGGTCTATGCCAAGACACTATCACTTGACCCCTCTCTACTAGTGCTCCTGTCTCCCCTCACATCTTGCACGCTGCTCTACTCCCATTCAAACTCATGGGCTGTGTCTAGACTGGCCAATTTTTCCGGAAAATCAGCCGCTTTTCCAGAAAAACTTGCCAGCTGTCTATACTGGCTGCTTGGATTTCCACAAAAGCACTGACTTCCTATTGTAAGAAATCAGTGCTTTTTGCAGAAATATTATGCTGCTCCCATTTGGGCAAAAGTCCCTTTTGCGCAAAACTTTTGCGCAAAAGGGCCAGTGTAGACAGCTGAGATTTGCTTTCCGCAAAAAGCTCCGATCGCGAAAATGGCTATCGGGGCTTTTTTGCAGAAAAGCGCGTCTAGATTGGCCATGGATGCTTTTCCACAAAAAGTGCTTTTGCGGAAAAGCGTCTGTGCCAATCTAGACACTCTGTTCCGAAAATGCTTTTAACGGAAAACTTTTCCGTTAAAAGCATTTCCAGAAAATCATGCCAGTCTAGGCATAGTCATGATGATCCCAGTTGTTGGGAAATACCCCCCACACACAGGCCATCATTTATATTTATATTCACTGAGATATTTCTGGGCAGAGAGGGGCTTCAACCTAAGAATACATTCAGATTTGGGATATACACTTAGAACTGTCCTGCATACCTGTAAATGCATGGTATGCATGTAAATGCAGAAGCAGCTGTGTCTTGATGCAGGAAATAGTCAAAGTCCTAGAGCTTAAGCTAAATGGTCTATCCAGAAGCCTCTAAAACAGCAAAACTGAACCACTAAAATCAGTGTTAAAATTCCCATTGAGAGTAATGGGAGCAAGATTGGACCTGAAGGAGTGACTTCTTAGAATCCAACCTCTTTGCTGGCCTGGGGCTGTGTGACAGCATCTGCCTCAAAATGGTTGTATGACCCTGTATCCAAAGCATGGCCTTACATCTGTATCTAACAGAGGGGATTTAATGCCCGAAAACTTCTAAGGTTCAGCATATTGGTTCAGACTCAAAATGTTATGGACCAGTCGACCGGATGGTCAGCTAGTTGTTTTTCTCCCTCCCCCTCCCCCACCCCCATCCTGCCTCTATCAGATAGAGGCAGCAAGGGGGGGAATAAGAGATTTTAAAATGAATCAACTGTTCAATTAGTCAATTACATGCTATTTAACATCCTTAGTTCAGACCTGCAGTCTATTCATCAGCACAAAGCAGTCCTTTGACATAAAAGACATCAAGGCAATGGAAGTTGAAGAGGCATGAGAGCAGAGCTGCACCACAGATCCAAAGTTCTGTTTGCAAGAATTCATAGTGTGATATCTCTATGCTCACAGCATTTATACTGTTCTGTATGAGACAGGTACTGTTCATCCACTACCATTCTTCAATGATTGTGTTTGGAAACAGCAATCTGTTTCACGCTGAACAATAGACTATAGTTCAAGTTAGGCTGCTTAAAAGTTGGTAGCCAAGACACTGAACTGCTGCTAAGTTCCCTTAGTTTAAAACCACTTCATAAATCAGTGCCCTCATTCCGCAGATACTTCAAAAAAGCAGTCATTACTCAGACCCAGTTTGTCTGCTGCATGCACAGTCAACCCATGGAACAAAACTATCTATGCTTTCCTGCACAAAATCAAGTGGCTTTGATACATGCCACCTCAAATAGCAGTTGCAAGTCCAGCCAATGTTTTGTTCCCATGCGGAACTTACCCAAATAAAGTTATTGGTATTTCAAAAAATTTGAACCGAGGAGTGTCAACCATGAATTACCTATTGGTGTTTCATAGTTAGATCAGTGCTCTATATTTAGGGCAGCAGTTCCCAGAATATGAGCATGTTCACTTTGAGGATATAAAGGACTAACCAAGGGATGTGGAACAGTGATTGTGTAAGTTTCCCCCAAGCTAATAATGTGGGACTGGAGGAGGCTTGGATTTGTGGTTTTTTGTTTGTTTCTTTGTTTTTCTGGAAGTGCCAATTAGAGTAGAAATGTTTGAGAAATGCTGGTTTAGGGAATATCATTATGTTACTAAACAACTTTAACAGATTAAGATGCTTCAAGTATGTTGTCCTGATACAGAGCTACCTTTTATAGCAAAGGAGCAGTGAACCAATACATTGTTTGAATAAAGGCTTAACAAGTGCATGTTGTTCATGGAAAGTCCTCTGAAAACATTTCCAGCTTAGACACAGATGTTAAGCCAAGAAATTTAAACATGCATTGAAAGGTGTAGTTTGTCCAAAACTGTGACTTGATCAGTGAAAAACAGTCTCAAACTGAGTTATATCAACTAGGGATGTTAATGCGTAATCGACTAGTCGATTAACCAATAAGCCTAGGTTTATCAGTTAATCTAGTCGACTACTCGCATTCCCCCCTTAAAAGCTGGTTCCCCCCAGCATTGGCTCCACATTCTGTCTGCCCCACCCACCGCTGCTGCCTCTGTCAGAGGCCGCAGCGCAGGGGGTGGGGGACAAGGCCAGGGAAGGTTGCTTCACAGCAGGAGACCCTGACCGCAGTGGGCCCAGGCTCGCCATGGACAGAGGCTGCTCCACGCAATATGAAACAGTCTCTGTCTGCGGCAAGCCTGGGCCCACTGCGGGCAGGGGCAGCTTAGTAGCAGCAGTTCCTGTCCATGAGGGGGAGGGTCTGAGCTCCTTGTAGTCTGCAGAAAGCTCAGACCCTCCACAGAGAGGGGCTACTATCACCCCGCGCTGCTGCCTCTATATCTGAGGTAGCAGCGTGGGGTGGCAGGCAACCAGTCCGCAAGGGGAGCTGGTTTTTAAACTGGTTCCCCTCATAGACCAGCTGCCTCCTGGTAGGGGGCTCCCTGGGAATGGGGCCAGATTGCACAGGGTGCCAGCCCCACCCCTGGGGACTGTAGAATAGTAGTCAACTAACCTTTAAGAATTCATGCAGTCAGTCAACTATTTTATTATCCACTAGCTAATATCCCTTATATCAACACAGGTCTTCAATTGTTCTCAAATACATGGCATTCATAAAAAGTCTTTCATGGTTACCAAAGGTCCAAGTCAGGGTGAGTATATAGTCCCATATTTTTGTCCACTAAACAAATTAAGAACAGAGTCATAGATCAGCGAATTCTTTCATCCTTAAGGTCTGATTCTGCAAGCTGATTTCTGGGTGTTGTATCCTTTTGTATTGCATCACTTTGAGATGGCAATACCTAAACCTCATTATCATGTTTTGCTCAACCTGCCATTCAAAATAGGTACTTTCTCATCATAATTCATTGAGCCTAAACTTTCCACATATTTTCATGTCATAGTAAAACATCCATGTTTTATATCATTGGGAACTTAACTGAATAAATCTGAAGACTTCAGTGATCACAGCTGTCTTGTTTTGAGAAACTACACAGACTCCTGCAACTCTGCCTCGGGCTTCCTGTAGTCAGCGCTGGTCAGTTTCAGCAGCGGCTGACTTGGGGACGCCTGGGGCAGAGCAGCTGGGGTGCTGCCGGGTTGGTCCAGTAGCGCCCAGAGCGGCGATTGGGAACTTAACTGAATAAATCTGAAGACTTCAGTGATCACAGCTGTCTTGTTTTGAGAAACTACACAGACTCCTGCAACTCTGCCTCGGGCTTCCTGTAGTCAGCGCTGGTCAGTTTCAGCAGCGGCTGACTTGGGGACGCCTGGGGCAGAGCAGCTGGGGTGCTGCCGGGTTGGTCCAGTAGCGCCCAGAGCGGCGCTGCGGGACCAACCGGCAGCGCCCCAGCT